TAACCACCGATCGTCGCCTAATCCACCGCTCTTGGTTCGATTTTTTTTTTTAGTTCTGTACGTACACTCGCTCAGCGCTAACGTTTCCATCGCACGCTGCTGTGAATTTTGCACTTCAGCAACATTGAAGATATATTTCGTCGAAGGTATTTCATATTTAGTGATTCATATGAGAAACTTTTTTTATTGAATTAGTAAAATGTAGATTAATCGCGTTTAAAATACTATATAAGTGTGATATTTTTATTTAGTGAATTAATTAAAACATTTTGTGAGTCACTCACTGGTTGGATGACTTCAAGAATTTTCTTTCTTATCGCTATCTGTGTTGTAGTTGTGTTCATCTGGTTTTGATTATCTGACGCGCCGCGCCGCGCCTCGCTGTTTGTTTACACGTGTATCACTAGCCTAACACGTGGCGGACTAGGAGCCACTTAGTGAAAACATGTGTACATTAAGTTTTGAAAAATTTACTTATAGCTAAAGACAGGTGCTAAAAAAATATACATACATACATACATATGTACATACCTAGAATGTGGATGAGTGTAAAAAGCGTTCAGTGCTGAAGTTTTCTTAAAAAAAATCGAGTTTTAATATGCCTAGCTATCTCTTCTGAATTTCCACGGCTGCTCTGTATAAAATAATGTGTTGCTACACGCTTTTCGTGCTAATTTGATTTAGTATATAGAATTTCTTTTGTTCTTTACTTATAAACATTTGAGTGGGCGGTTTCCATGTTGTGGTATTGAATTTTCATATATAATATTTTTTAACTTTTAAAACGTAAAAATTAGCATACGAAAATATATACATATATGTCTGTGCATATATACATATATGTCTACGTAAAATACGTCCGATTAACAACTGCTAAATGTGGAATACTTGTTTGTAAAATGTAAACATATTCCGCATTTTTTTTTTTTTTTTAACTTGAAAGTGATTTTGCGAAGTGTGCCGCGCTTTGTGAATTTTTCTTAAGTGGTGAATTAAATAAGTTGGTATTCAATTAGATTGCATTGCATTAATCCCGGGAAAAATTGGAAATATCGAATTCATAGTAAGAACTTATTTAAGATTTTGAATTATGATTATAGCAAAATGCCGTTTTGTCTAAAAGTGTTGAGGCCGAAAGATGTTTTTCATCAGCAGGTTTTTGTATGTAAGAACTTCAGTTCAAGATTAGAAGACTCCGCTTTGAATGCTTTGCTGCTCCTACGAGCACATTTAAAATGCAATAATAAACCGGCAAAAAAGGGATGGGCGCTTTTAACCAGACCTACCTAGCAACATGTATTTCAACCCGCTGAATCCGAATCTGAGGTCCGTTTGACTCGTACACCATCAATATGTTGAGTAAATTGCGAAAAAATGGCAAAAATTGCTTTAGAATAAACATGTTTTTGTATTTTTTTGTAATTTTTTTTTATTAATCATTACTATTTGTATCAAAATTTTGAAATTTTTAATCTGAATTTTTAGGAAATTCTTTGGAATGCAGTAGCGTGGGCCGAAAATCTACAATAATTGTAATTTTAGTAAAAAACTTTTGTTTATTAGTTTATGTATTAATTTTTAAATTTCTTTATTTTATTTTATTATATTTTTTTTTACTATATAGCTGAGGTACCTGCATACCCTAAATTTTTCTAAAAATTCTAATTAAAAAGTTCAAAATTTAGATACAAATTTTTCTAAATTCTGTATGAGGTTTGATAGTTGACTTAAGTGCTTTTGATTAAAGCAGAAACTATGTTTTGATAAAAAATAACACAAAATTTTAACTTGAAAAACATTGCAAATATTTGACATAAAACACCATGTACACACTTTTGATCGCAAGCGTATGCGTTTTTCAATCACATAGCAAAGGAACATGCGTCTAATACCACTTTTGATCTCCTTATATGGAATGAACTGTTCGCTTTTGTTCGAGCATGTCCTATGAAGCTACTAATTGTTCCCCTCTATACCCAAACGGGTATAAAAAGCGAGACAAGTCACTTTTAAAAAATAAAAATAAAAATTTGCGCCAGCTGAGATGCGGAGATTCTCAGGTTTGTTAAGCGATTGGAATGGAATGGAATTGTGGGTGGCCGGCAAGGCAAAAAACAAATTTTTCCAAGCACTAAAGCAGTATTGCCCATTGTACTTAAGGCCAAGAAACAGGATTTAGAGGAAAGGGATATGTAGATGGGGGTGGGAATTCATTACTCCTCTGCAAACTTACCAGAGACCTTCATGCATTTTAGCAATTTGTTGAGGGAAAGTACATCCCACCCAAAAATGTACCATCTGAGTTAGGCGAAGGCCGGACAGCGGCAGAAAAAATGTTCTGTACTATCATCGTCCTCCAAACACGATGTACATAGTGGATCGTCGATGATGCCTATGGTGACCATATGTCATCCCCATGGATTGTGCCCCGTAATCAGTCCTACCAGCGATCGTAGATCACTCCTTCTTTGTTTGCTACCACCCTGTGAGGCTTTTTCATGAAACACTTAGTTATTTTGCAGGTGTCAATAGTGCACCAACGGCTCTCATGCTTTGCTCGCTATGCTTGGCCCTACAATTGGCTCCGGTCCAATTGGGCACTCCAGAGAACCGCAGTTCGCCAACTCATCAGCCAGTTAGTTACCTTGCACACCGTAGTGTCCTGGCACCCACACAAGTTCAAGCTCATTCCATCTTGTAACGGAGTTCAGCCCCAACTGGCATTCCTGGACGAACTTTGAAGAGGTTCGAGCGGTTTCCAGGGCCTTTAGAGCAGCTTGGCTGTCACTGCAGATTCTCAGTTTATGTCCGCGCCACCTTTCGCCAGTTATCCAGTCTAGCACTTTCAGTATTGCAAAGACTTTCGATTGAAAGACCGTTGTAATTGCACCCAAAGCGGTAAAGCATCTGAAGTTTCCGTCCAGATGCCATCCAACTCCATTACCGTTTTCAGTCTTTGAGCCATCAGTATAGAAAGTTTTCACCGAGCTTCCCAAAAGAGTGTCTGGATCTCTCCATTGTTTCCTTATAGAAAATCTAACGACGTACTTTCGACTAAAGGGGACTCTAGGTATCACTTTGTTATTTGGTGCCAAAAAGAAAGGATATTGCTCTGACAACCTTCTGAACAACTCTCTGTGCCCAGAGCTCCGATCGTCATGCCACATACCAAAAGAGTGCAGTCGACACATCGTTTTCATTGCCTCCTCTTGAATCGCTAAATCCAGAGGCGATAAATTCAACAAAGCATTAAGAGCCGTCCTACGGGCACGAATTTCAAAATTTCAACCCTGTTTGTGTGAAATATTTTATTTTTAATCAAACTAAATATGTTGAAATAAAAGTGAAAATAAAAAAATATTTAGTCGTAAATTAGCATAGCAGAAGTAGTAGTCATCGAAAGAGATTTTTCTGTTATTTCCATTGCATAGTCACTCCGAATCTCATAAAAATAAATACCATTTGCCACAATTGATGCAATAAAAGTAATGAACTTTAGATTCGCGTTTCATTCCATATGTTATGCCTTATTTGATGTATGTACATTAGACTGCATCACTCCCCATACAAAAAAAAAAATTGGTACTATTTTTCCATTGGAATTATAAAATCTATTATATTTTAAGACGTCCACCAAAATATTTCGGAAAAATATTAAGATTTAAGTGAGCTGGACCGATTTGAAAATACCTCCAAAAATGGAGTTTTTTATGAATAAAAATAGTTTCTTAAAGATTTTTTTTTTTTAAATCCCCTCAAATGATAAAACGGTTTAAGCTTATAATATTTGCATACAAATATTAAAAAAAAAATAAAAAAAAAATTTTGAACGGAATCGTAATGATGAGATTTTTGATGCTGTTTTTTAACTTTTTTCAAAGATTGGTATAGGAAAAACTTGAATAACTGAACCTAAGCTCTTCCGATTTAGACTTACATAAGAGGTGTCAATAAACTCATTCAAAGGATGGAAGAGAAAGGTTGGTATTCGAAAAAACAAGATGGGACACGAATGACGTTTTTTTGGCCAGAAATAAAAACAGTGTGAAAATACCTTTCTACTGAGATCCCATAAGTCTAAATCAGAACATTTTTGGCCCAGTTATTCAAGTTTTTCGTAAACCAATCTTTGAAAAAAGTAAAAAAACAGCATCAAAAATCTCATTCTTACGATTCCGATGAAAAGATTTTTAAATATTTTTATGCAGATTTTTTAAGCTTAATCTAATTTGTCATCTGAGGGGACTTTTTTCAAAAAGTTCTTTAAGAAACTATTTTTATTCATAAAAAACTTCATTTTTGGAGATATTTTCAAATTGGTCCAGCTCGCTTAAATCTTAATATTTTTCCGAAATATTTTGGTGGACGTCTTAAAATATAATAAATTTTGTAATCCCGGTGGAAAACCCGCAACTTTTTTTGGTGATGCAGTCTAATGTACATATATATGTATGTTTCCTACATGTATCCATTCCCATGGGGCATATGCGCGTGCGCATAAACATTAGTGAAAATAAATATCTGCGCTATATGCGATCACTTGGCTGCTAAGGATAAAATTAATACTGGGAGCGTGTAAAGTATTGAATTACAATAATAATGCAGAGTTCATAGCAAATGTGTATACATAGATACTTATGCGAGTAGCATATCTCAAAAGCAAATTTGTTTCAATGATAGTACTTATTTCTGGGCGGTCGCCGCAAGCGCCTTTTGTTTATTTAGCTGTCTGGTACTTGAAGAAGACGAAGCACTCAATATTTTAAAGCAAGTGGAGCAAGTCAACTTGAGTGATTGAATTACATATGTATGTATGTACATCTGCATTAAATGTGATAAATAATATGCATGTGTAAAATTGTATCATATTACCAGTTCTATTAATCTTTTTTTAGCTATTAGTCATGCATAATTAACTAAACATAATAATTAAAAAGTTTTGTTAAAATTATGTCAAATAATAAATTAAATATACAAATTTATAAATTTTCTGATTTCAGTATTTCAATGGGGTGACTTGTGGAACAGTACTCTCCTGAACCCGGGACCAAAAGGTAAACAAATATGTAATATATTATGCATACATACATATGTAGATACATTCCGGAGCGGATATCCACTTTAAAGTTAAGTTTATTAATAAAAATATTTAGGAAAAATAGTCCGGAAGATAGTACCAGAAGATATTCGGCCTTATCGCGAACATTATAATGCAAAGCAAAAAAAAAAAATGTTCCCAATTTGTTTTTGTTTTGCCAGTTAAATTATGCTAACGTTTTATTCACATGGCGTGGGCTACGTGAACGACTTCGGATTATTTCTGACTAAATTCGGGAGTACGGGAATAGGCTAATCGTATTCTTGAAGGCGTGTGGAAATTCGGAATTAGCATATTTTCTAATTTAATAATTACCTACATACATAACTAATTAAATAATGATACAACAGGAAAATAAGTATATTAAATTCAATGATAATAGCACGTTAAATAACCCATAGAGTATTACATTTACAAAAACACCTACACCTGCAATTATTTTCCGATCAAAGCAACAATTGTGAATTGATTGATCGCCCGCTGCTCATTTGCGCCAATTTCCTCCAATATACACTGTAATTACTATTTCGGAACGGCAGGGTTTTTAAAAATTCAACCTAATAATCGTATTAAAACGATAATAAATAATTCATTCATATTTCCTTCTCAAATCATTACATGTACAGTCGGTGTCAAATGTAAGTGTACACCTTTTTGTCTGTCTGTATGTTTGTACGCGCATCACTCGAAAACGAATGCATTGAATCGAATGCAGTTTCCACCGATGTATTGACAGAGGTTTAACTTAAAATTTATAAGAATAAAAATTAGAGAGTTGCCACCAGTTTGAAAATTGCAGTTTAAGTAAATTGATAAGATATAGTAAATATTGTAATATAGTTATCAAAGGAAAGAGGTTTAAAATTGTTTGAAAATTTTTAATTTAATTTAAATGATAAGATAAATTGAATTTTGCAATGTGGGTATCAAACTAAAAAAGGTTTAGGAAAGTTCACTGGCGAAAATGTTTTTTAGTTATAGAAAAATTTAATTCAGTTAAATTGATAAAATAAGGTAAATATTGAACTAGTATATCTTTGGAGAAGTGCGCGATATGTATACTCAAGGTTTAAGTTATTAATTAAATCGCCAGGAGAAAGCCGATACTCTACCTAATTTTTAAATATTTTTGAAAACATATTAACTAACTCCCACATTTATACAAAATAAAAAATGCTTCATAAATCGAAGATTTGTTTGAATATCTTCCTTCATAAGGCTCTTTAAAGCTATTTTTACTTTTTATGAGTGGGCCGTATTGCACGCCGGGTATTTGCTAGTTTTTTTTTTATAAAAATATAGCATATTCTACGTGTAAATCCGATTTTAAAATTTTATAAAAAAAAAATTTAAAAAAATGTCAACAAACGCATGCGCTATCCTAATGACTTTCAGTGAATAAGTTAATAATTTTTTTAATAAAATTTCGGATATGCAGTTTTGTAGTCCATTAATTTTTAGTAAAAAAGTGTAAAGAGCGAAATACACAACACAAGCGGCTTGACAAACCAAGCGAAATTTCCCTTTGCTTCAAGCCATTTGTGCTGTGTATGGGGGTGTTTGAAGGTTTGACAAACCGCTTGAGGGAAATTTGAGCAAAAATCAAAATTTTTTGATTTTCTGGCCTCCATGTTGATGTTTGATCAAACCGCTTGCGTTGTGTATAGCAAAATCGCCTCATTCGCAACGAAATTTTCACCGAGTAAGGACGTAAGAGAGGAAAATGAAAGAAAACCATAATATTTAGCATTGCGAACTGGAAGAAAACTAAAATTCTTTGCTTGAACGAGTCATGTTTGCATGGTGTATGGCGAAATGGGAAAAGTAGGTTTGAAGAATGTTTGACAAGCCGCTTGTGTGGTGTATTTCGCTCTTAAGCTTCAAGTGGCTGAAAAATAGCATTGTGTTTTGACAATTTGTTTTTTTTTCTGGTGACAGTGTCATGCATTTTCTTCCATACAAAGTATGCTCGAAAAAACCAGATTGAGGATGCTAACTATAAGCCAACTACATACATATACATATGTGCTATTTACATACATACTAGATATTATTTACAATACACCTGCCTTTGAAAATTTTAATAGTTTACACCACAATTGCTTGAAATTTTTATTTCTGTTTCACTTTCATTTTCCGCAAAACCTTTGATTGCCTGTACGATTATTGCCTTTGTTAAGGATACGCGCTGCCAAACGCATTTCAAAAACGTTTTTGTTTACTTTAAATCGAGCATATGTATGTATGTATATGCTTACGTATATATACTTACACATATTTTCAATTTTATTACAAATGTTTAAATTAATTCGAATAATGAATTCTTAGATTTACATGAATTTATTTAAAAACATGCGAGCGTGTACATACATATATACATATACATATCATTGATATTAGGTGTGAACAATTTTTTATTATACCCGAGCGCACTTGTGCACAAGGGTATTATAACTTTGTTCACATAACGGTTGTTTGTAACAGGCAAAACGAATCGAGATAGATATAGACAAATGTATACATAAATGATCAGAATGAACAGAGAAATCGATTAAGCGGTGACTGTCTGTCCGTCCGTCCGTCCGTCTGTGCACACGATAACTCGAGTAAAAATTGAGATATCTTAACGAAACTTGGTACGTGAACTTCTTTTGGGCGTGGGACGGATGGTATTGAAAATGGGCGAAATCGGATAATAACCACGCCTACCTCCCATATAACGGTAATTTTAAGAAATACGAAAACTGCGATATTTTAGTAACTACTGAAGATAATCCACTCAAAATTGATACTTACAATGAGTTTCAGACGGAAAACATGAATATTAAAAATTTTTGGAAAATGGGCGTAGCCACGCCCACTTATGGTTACATGTGTATATCTTGGTAACCGCTGCACCAATTTCTTCCAAACTTGGCACAGTTGTTGGCCTTAGTACAGCATACTAAATGGCTGAAAATTTTAAAAATCGGACAATAACCACGCCTACCTCCCATATAACGGTAATTTTCAGAAAAACGAAAACTGCGATATTTTAGTAACTACTGAAGATAATTCACTAAAAATTGATATTTGCAATGAGTTTTAGACGAAAAATAAGAATATTACAAAATTTTGGCAAATGGGCGTAGCCACGCCCACTTATGGTTACATGTGTATATCTTGGTAACCGCTGCACCAATTTCTTCCAAACTTGGCACAGTTGTTGGTCCTGGTACAGCATACCAACTTGCCGAAAATTTCTAAAATCGGACAATAACCACGCCCACATCCCATATAACGGTAATTTCGAGAAATACAAAATCTTCGATAAATCAGTAAATATTGAAGCAAATTTATTCAAAATTGATGATTGCAACAATTCTTTACCAAGAAATACGTTTATGACAAAATTTTGGAAAATGGGCGTAGCACCGCCCACTTGTGATCACATATATGTATATCGGTAACCGTTCTACCAATTTGTACCAAACTCGGTGTGGTTATTGTGCTTGCCACTTAAAAGCAAAACGTTGAAAATTATTGAAATCGGACTAAAATTACGGCCGCTTTTTATATAACGGTAAATTTCAGAAATGCTTGAAACTGCAATATTTCGCACCCCGGCTTATCATGTAGCGGTAGCTTTCGGAAAGGTGGAAAACATATATTTAATACTTGCGCCGGGTATTTAATGTTCGGCTCCGCCCGAACTTAGACTTTCTTACTTGTTGTTTTTATACCCGGGCGCACTTGTGCACAAGGGTATTGTAACTTTATTCACGTAACGGTTGTTTGTAACAGCCTAAGGGGGCCGTGGTAGATACGTATGTGAAAATGTTCAGCATGAAAAGATAAATCGATTAAGGGCCGTTTTCTGAAGTAACCTTTAACTTTTAACTCACTTTATATTTATTTAAAGGTTGGATTAAAAATAAAGCCTAGCCACACCCACTTATCATTACATGTGTACAGCTCGGTAACCGCCCAACTTCGCACACCTTGGTGCAACGATGCAAATGGTTGAACATTTTTGAGATCGGACAATAACGGTTAATCTCGGTAACCGTGCTACTAATTTCTTCGCTAATTTACTCGAAAGTTGATACTCACAACAATCTCTTAGAAGGAAATAATATTATAATGCGTTTTTGGAAAGTGGGCGCAGCACCGCCCACCTATGACGACATAGGTTTATCTTGGTAACCCCTTTATCGATTTCTACCAAACATGGTTAAATAATTTCATTAAGTCTAACTGAGCATGTTATCGAAAAATTTTGGAATATGGGTAAAAAAGTAAGGAATTAACTCCTTAACACATTTTTGTGGTTTACTTATTTTTGGCGCAAACCCGCTGTAAGCCTTTTCGAAGGGGTTTTTTTTAACTTTTCAGAGGATTAAAATATTACACGAAAATGTTTCCCGTAGTATTTAACATAGAGCTGCTGAACACATCCCGTATCTAAAATGTACGAATCATATGACGATTTATCAAAATAATATGCAGAAGAGGGAAAACCGTGACCTCCCCTGAAATAAACAAATTTTTGTTTCGTCCCCTCTACCAGAATCCGTTTTATTATTATTATTATTATTATTATTTTTTGGTCTCATACAGCATTATTATTTCACGCTCAAACAGAATTGTATATATGTAGTTAAATATGGTATGTATGTACATGTGCAGTATGTTCAACTATCAAGACGAATCAAAGTCATGCGGCGCACATAAATAGACATAAAAGGAAAAACCGCTGAAAAATTTTCTGTTGCTGAAAAGAAATAATCTCAAGAAGTGCGCAATTCCCGATTAAGAATATTTTTAATATAAACAATTAGTGGCGAATGCAAAAACTCTAAATCGATTAATTAAAAATGGGCCATTATACATTTTTGTGGGATGTTGTGGGTAATTATAGAAAATGGATCCACGCGCGCGCTGGTACTTAGCCCTGTTTTTGAAAAACCGATTTTA